AGGGATTGAATCAGTTTGCAGCCCCACCAGCAGTGGCTGAGTGTTCCCCTTTCCCCACATCCTCTCCAACACATTTGGTATCATTTGTTCTCTTGATCTTAGCCAGTCTGACTGGGGTAAGATGAAATCTTAAAGTGGTTTTAATTTGCATTTCCCTAATTATTAATGATGGTGAACAACTTGTAAGATGTTTCATAGCCATCTTTACTTCTTCTTTTGAGAACTCTCTGTTCAACTCCTTAGCTCATCTTTTAATTGGGTTGCTTCTTGTCTTGATTCTCTGTGTTTTGAGTTTGTTGTATATTCTGGATATTAAACCTCTGTTGGATGCGTCACTGATAAAGATTTTCTCCCATTCTGTGGGTTTTCTGTTCGCTTCCCTGGTCGCCTCCTTTGATGTACAGAAGCTTTTTAGTTTAATGAGGTCCCATTTGTTAATTCTTAGCCTTGTTTCCTGAGCAATTGATGTCCGGTTTAGAAAATCCTTTCCTACGCCTATATCTTGTAGGTTTTCCCCAATGTTTTCTTCTAATAGTTTCAGAGTTTCAGGCTTTACATTGAGGTCTTTGATCCATTTGGAATTGACTTTTGTGCAGGGTGAAAGATAGGGGTTTAGTTTCATTGTTCTACAGGTGGAGATCCAGTTTTGCCATCACCATTTGCTGAACATGCTGTCTTTCCTCCATTTAATTTTCTTGGCCCCTTTGTCAAATATCAGGTAGCTGAAATCGTATTTACTCATATTTGGGTCTTCAGTTTTATTCCATTGATCTATGGGTCTATTTTTGTGCCAGTACCATGTTGTTTTTATTACTATAGCTCTGTAATACAACTTAAAATCTGGTATAGTAATCCCCCCGGTATTGCTCTCAGTGCTCAGGGTTGGTTTGGCTATCTGAGGTCTATTGTGCTTCCATAAGAATCTTAGGGTGTTTTTTTCCAATTCTGTGAAAAATATCATGGGGATTTTGATCAATATTGTGTTGAATCTATAAATGACTTTTGGTAGGATGGTCATTTTCACATTATTAATTCTTCCAATCCATGAGCATGGGAGGTCCTTCCATCTTCTGATGTCTTCCTCAATTTCTTTCTTTAAAGATTTAAAATTTTCATTGTAGAGCTCTTTAATGTCTTTGGTCAGGTTTATCCTGAGGTAAATTTTCATTTTTTGAGAATTTTGTATAGGAATACTGTATTTACATAATTTTCACCCTTCCTTCTCCCCCTCCAACTCCTCCCATGTTCCCCCCACTCCCTCTCAATATCCTGACCTCCCCTTTAATTATTGTTGTTACATACATATGTGTATACATAAACAGCGTACTAAGTCCTTTTAGTGGTGCTATATTCATAAATTTAGGGCTAACCACTTGAGATTCAACAACCTGTTAGGTTTCTTGTCCCTGGAGAAAATAGCTTCTTTCTCAGCAGCCATTAATTGGCAGTAGCTCTTCATCTAACCTTTTTCCCATGGAATTTGTCCCATACATGTTGGCATATCAACAGGTGTTATCTTTATATAGATATTGTGTGTGCAAATGTATTGTTGGGATTTTGTGGGTGCAGCTTCCCTGTCATGTCTGGAACATACTATCAGTAGCAGGTGTCGTGGTCCTCAGGTTCTTACAATCTTTCCACCCCCTCTTCTGCAAGTTTCTGTGAACCCTAGGATATTGGTTGCATTTTTGATGTATCAATTTGCCTTGGCCCCCTATGGTCACTTACTCTTCATTCTGATCACTTGTGGCTATCTTTATGGTCTCCATCTGTTGAGAAAAAAAATTCTTTGATGAGGGCTGAGATATATTTTTCTATGGGTTTAAGGATAAGTTTTTAGATTCCAGTTAGAAATTGTAATGGTTTAGGGAAATGAAGTTCTTCTCTAGGGTTTGTGATCCCTTCAGCCATGGATGTTTGGCTAAGTTTACAGTATCAGGCATGAATTCCCTCTATTGGGTAGGCCTTCAGTTATTTACTGTTCAAATCTCTTTTAAAATTTTTTTCAAGAAAACTTTTTTTTTAATTTTGTGTATGAGTGTATTGCCTCCATGTGTGTAAATGCACTCGAGTCATTCTTTACTCTTTTATACAGTTTTCTTAGGCTATCTTTATTTTAGACAAAAGCTTATAGTGAGAGTGTAAGAAAAATTTTGATGGAATCTTGTATCAATCTTTCTATCTATGGGTAATTTGAAGTTTGTATTCCCTCTTATTTCCAATTATTTTGCTAAACTTTATGTATTTTAATTTTTCTTGTTATTTTTAAAAAGGAATTTCACTATATGTCTAAGTAACTTAAGTATATAGATTGCCTTATAATTATTTTTTACCCTCTAGCATTTTTGGGGGGTGGGGTCACTTGCTGTGTTGAGTTTCCTACATTTCTAGAATTTAAACTTGTGCTATCATTTAAAATTAACTCTACCAATTACCAGAAATATAGGAGGTAAATGCCCATGTAAATCTAGAGTTGGAATCACTTTTGGGTTTAATGTTTTTTGAGGAACATAGTTTTGAATCATATTAAGGGTCACATCTCTCTTTTTGTAAGATTGATCATCCAGTAGGGCTGGAGAGATGGCTCAGCAGTTAAGAGCACTGGATGCTTTTGCAGAGGATCTGGGTTCGATTCCCAGCACCCACATGGTGGCTAACAACCATCCATAACTCCAGTTCTAGGGGATCAGACACCCTCTACTGACCTCTGTGTGCACTGCATGACTTGTGTACACTTATATACATGCATGTAATGCACTCGTACATGCAAAAATTAAAATAATAAAGTATATATTTAAAAACTTTATTTTAAAAACTTTCTTAAAAAATAAAAAGTAGAAAAAAAATTTTTTTAAAGATTGATCATGCAATTTATTGGCCTGATTCTAGTTTTTACATTATCTTACAAATGAGGTACAATACATAGAGTGAAATGCATTGATCTTCAGTAGATAGATTTATTATTGGCAGATATGTATACAGCTATGTAACCAGCACTCTGTCAAGATTTTTCTTTCTCAGGTTTCCATTCAAATTTTCCCCTTTGACTTTACTCCCAGAAGCAACTACTGTTCTAGAAGGTCTTATAATAGGTTGAAGGAAGAATTTTTTTTTTTATAATTGACATAAAAGTTTACACCTCTAGAAGTTTGATCATGTAGAAAACAGTTATAATTACTATTTTAATATCTCAATTTGGTATCGTTCTAATTCATTAACATCTGTGTGAATTTTTAGTCAGTGTATATAGATCAAATTTCTTTTTGTTATGCATCATATATTCCTATTTAAAAAATATTTTATTTATTATTTTTATGTGTATGAGTGTATTGCCTGCATGTATGTGAGTGCACCCATGTCCTGCGATGCCACGGAGGTCAAAAGAGGGCTCGGATTCCCCTAGAACTGGAGTTAACGATGGTTTGTAGCTGCCATGTGGGTGCTGGGAATCAAACCTGGGTCCTCTGCAAGAGCAGTTAGTGCTCTTAACCGCTGAGCCGTCTCTCCAGCCCCTATATAGTCCCATTTTTATTTCTTATTATTTGTGATTGATATTGTGAATTATATCTGGTTGGTTGCTGGTTATTTTTTTCTTTGAATTAATATTCCTTATACTACAGTTTTTTAGTAATATTCTGAGCTTTTCTCTGGAAGCCGTTCTATCTTTCAGGTCTTTCAAAATCAATAGACCCCAAGCAGTACTCAGTTTGTGGCTAAGTGTGCTTGATACTGATGCAAGTGCCATTCTGTATTTCACGGCCTGGGCATCATGAAGTTAAGTGCTCTGGTTCTTGGGCACTGGCATCATTACTTAGCCTTACCTTTAATCCTTTCAGATGGTTCCATACTTAGATTTTGGTTGTTTTTATACACTCAGTGGGAACCTCTAGATCTCCAGATTTCTTCCATTATGTATCTCCTCTGTTCATTACTGTTATTTGGTTGCCATGGAATTTTAGCTTCATGTGTTCAACTAAAAGAGTTCATCTAGTACCTGGGTTCCCCCTCTCAGTATCACATCACAGAATCTATTTAATAATACTTTAAGGTAGTTAGCTAGAATAGGTATCAGGTACTTAACTTGCTTTGTTTTTCACTAGCTCCCTTAAAAACAATACTGTCTGTGTTTATGTTTTAGATAAAGAGTTCCTGTACTCCGTCTTGACTACAAAGAGAAATCTGTCTTTAACAATTCAGAATATTTTCTTTTAACTGATGAAATTCTAGAAAATTACTTGAATAAGTAACAAGAGTTCTCAAAACTGAATTATCTTTAGATGGGTTCATTATAACATGTAGAACAAGAATCGCCAAATGAAATTGAGGTTCCAGTTTCACAATCTCATGAATTGTTTATAATTTAGAGCATAAATGATCACTTGGTTCTTTGGTTTTTGTCATCTTCTGTGTGTCCCAGCTCTTTTAAACTTTGACTGGATATAACAACAACAACCTATTACAGCAAATTAACCCATAAAAACTTTTGGCACAAATGCAAAGAGGTATAGAAGATTAATCTTATATATTTTAGATTTATCTGATTCTGAATCTTGTGGGTGTGTCTGTGAATGGTCTTGACCTTTTTTCTTAACTTATGGGTAACATGAAGTTCTTGGCTAAATTGTCAGAAAATATGAACTGGTGGGTCCTGTAACTTGAGTTTTAATACAGTCAGTGTTATGATATGTTTACTTGGTTTTAAAGTCTTTTCATATGTATTATTATTATTGCAGACATCACAACGATTTTCTTCAGTTGATGAACAAGCAAGGCTTCATAAGGCTATGTCTCAAGGAGAGATTACAAAGTTGTCAGTAAGACAGAAGCCTTCAGATTCAGATATAAGGTATGAAATGTATACAGAAATAATACGGATAATTAATTTTTATGATTTTATATAGTTAACTCAATACTGAGCTTTTGAATTTGCTGTATTTTTAAGAAATAAATATCAATATTGTCAGGTACATAATAGTTCAGATATGTATATTGAGCTTTATCTTATGTTTATCAGTATGATTTGGGATAAATTTCTTAATCATTGCATGATTTACAGTATTCTGTTGTAAAAGAAGAAAGATGAGATTGAAGATATGTTCTAGTTTGGGACTTAAATTCTATGCTGAGCTAAGTGCTATAGGAAAATACTTTCTGGAAATAATTTATTCTCTTTGAGAGAGCTTATGGATGAGGTAGGATGATGGTTGATGGATGATGCACAGCGGGATAGAGCACTTGCTGTGCAGGCATGAGGACCTGAGTTAAAAATTCCTATGACTTAGGAACCATCCTTAACTCCAGTTCCAGGGGAATCTGAAGCCCTCTTCTGACCTCCGCGGCATTGCACGACATGGGTGCACTCACATACATGCAGGCAATACACTCATACACATAAAATAAAAATAATAAAATATTAAAAAAAAAATTCCTATGACTCACGTTAAAAAAAAAAAAAAATCCAGGGATCTGGAGAGATGGCTCAGCAGTTAAGAACACTGGTTGTTCTTGCAGAAGACCCAGGTTTGAATTGCAGCACCCACATGGCAGCTAACAACTCTCTGTAACTCCAGTCCTAGGGGATCTGACAGCCTCTTCTGACCTCTGGCGGGCATGGCATGGCATGCATGCCCTTACCTACATGCAGGCAATACACGCATACACATTTAAAAAAAAAAGCCAGGCGTGGTTATGCTCATAGGTAGGTAACCCTAGCACTATGGTCGAAGGACAGGGACAGAGGTCCTTGGGATTTGATGGCCACCAGCCTAGCTCCATATTCAAGTGACCGTATCTTTAGGAAATAAGGTAGAGAATGATAGAGAGGATACCTGACATCCTCCTTTGGCCTCTGGCACACATAGGGGTATGAACATGCAGCGAGAGAGATTGTGAGACAGAGACAGAGACAGAGATACTGATTGATTGTGGAATTTCTATTATTTAAATATCTCTTCTGTATTAGCATTGGGCCCCCACTGAAGATTTTGAGGTATGCTTAAATCTTTTGGTTCCTTAACTCTATTATAGACTACTTTTTTACAGACTAAAGAGGCATTTCCAAGATTCCCAAATTATGCTGCAAATCAAAAATTGAGAAATAAGATACAACATAGTACAAAGAACATGTAATTTAATTTCTATTTCCCCCAAATTGCTAAAATGATCAAATCCACAAAGGACAGAAGTAGACAAAATCAGAAGAGTAAATGTCTTAATGGATAAAAATAGAATCTTAGCTGGGTGTCATGTCCCACGCCTTTAATCCCAGCACTCCAGAGGCAGAGACCTTGATATCTGTGAGCCTAGTCTACTTGGTGAGTTCCAGTTCTGTTGGGGCATATAAATACATAAATAAAAAATATATCTTTAAAAAATGAACACTGAGGGCTAGAAAGATGACTCAGTGGTTAAAAGCATTGGCTGCTCTTGCAGAGTACCCGTGTTTGATTGCCAGCATCTACATGGTGGCTAGCAACCATCCATATCTATAGTTCCAGGAGATGTGACACCTTCTTCTGGCTTCCAAGGGCTTTGCATGACACTGGCGTATTTTCATACATGCAGAAAATACTCATACACAAAATAACACTAAACATATCCAAAGTTATATATGGAGTAACTGAAATTACAATATTTGTGGTGGAGAAAGGAATAGTGCATCCTGCTTACTTGAGTCATGGCATAATACCAGTGTAAGCATGGTAAATACCAGAAGTGAGAGCTGTGTCAATTCAGAACACTGCTTTTGAAATAAGAGAAGTAGGATGAGAGTAGAAAGGCTGTGTTTCTAATAAGTCTGTAGAGCCTTTTTACAGCATATGAACATATAATTCTAGGAATAAGTGGTTTGGTTTTTTTTTTTTAATAAAAATGGAAGAAAAAAGATGGGCCTTTAATCTCAGCACTCAGGAACAGAAGCAGACCGATCTCTGTTGAGTTTGGGGCCAACCTGGTCTACATAGCAAGTTCCAGGCCAGCCAGGGCTACATAGTGAGAGCCTGTCTCAAAAACTAAAAATAAGGAATGAGAGATTATGTGCTATAAAACCAGATAGAGACAGAAGCTAAAATCAGGCCTATCAGCAGTCTGAACCCCAGTTTGCTCATGTATAAAGTACAGATAATAATTCTTCTTTATTGTGGTAGTTGTGAAAATTAGGTATAGGACTGTTAACCAAGTAGATGTTCAGATTTTTAAAATTTCATTTGTATTTTCATTCACAAATTAATATACAAATAAATTTACTAGTACAAAGTAAGAATATGTAGTATTTAGTGAGTATATGTGAGTTGCTATTACCTCAAGGTTCATCTTTGATTTATGTAAAAAAAAGTATATATAAACCCTAAAAAGAGGCAATATAATAAATTGCCTGATGTGATGGCATAGGTTTGTAATCCCAGCTACTTGGGAGGGTGAGGCAGGGTGAGCATAAAATTAAGGATTACCTGAACTACAGAGTGAGTTTAAGGCCAACCTGGGAAATTTGTGAGATGTTGACTCAAAATAAAAGTAGAAGATGAAAAGAGGTGTGGAGCTCAGTGGTAGAGCTTGCCTAGCATCTACAGTGCCTCATAAATAATAAATAATTCAATACCCATATCTATTATAGTAGGTATGATTCTCACTGGTAATTTTAGAAAAGTACTCTGTTTAATTTTACAATTTTTCATATTTGAAATATTTGTAGTGCAGTTTGAGTATCAAATTGCTTAAGACCAGACATGTTTTCAGATTTTGAGAAACATTTGCATATTTACATAATGAGAACATTATGGCATAGGACCCAAGTCCATAAACACAATTCATTTATATTTCATATACAATTGTGGTATATGAAATAGCCTGTGGGTGATTTGATATGAGATTTTTGTATGCTATTTTGACTATAACCTCCTAAGGTAAGTTGTGGAGCTTTTCACTTAGGACCTCATGTAAGCACTCAAAAGTTTATTTTAGAGCAATTAGGATTCAGAGTTTTTAAATTATTGATGTTCATCCTGAAATGTAAATGTGTAATTAAAGTAATACCATATAAGCACTTAGCACTGTGCCTAGAGAAAGATAAGAGCTCACATAACTAGTGGCTGTGGTTAATTATCATAGATAATCAATATAAAATGGTAACATCAAAACTTTTATAGTGTGAGGGAGTAAAAAAAGATGGAGTTGGAATGAGGCATGCCCCAGGGGTGCACTAGCTGCGAAGAAACTGACTGCAGCCAGTGGGCCATGTGAGGAACCTTATCACAGACAATATTTACCTGACCATAGGTGCTTCTATATTGATCTCAAAATTCTGAACCCAGGACCTGGCAAGTATAAAAGAAAACAATTGGAGAGCCAAAATGGCAGCACAGGCAGAGCAATGTTGTAGTGGCACGAGGACCTAAAAACATAACTGAGCCTCTTCATTTTTTTAAGACTCTTGATGCTTCTATATTGAACTCAAAATTCTGAACCCAGGACTTGGCAAATAAGAGAGATAATAACTGGGAAACCAAGATGAGAAAGCTGCGCATACCAGCCATTACTCTGTGCACCTGTGGAGCCTGGCTGCTCATATGCACTGGTGGTTGGAGCTGAGTTGACTGCCCACCCATGCGCCCCAGTGGTGCCAATGATCAGCCAACCATACTCACTACATAGTGGCTTTCAAGACCTGGCTGCAGTCCTCAACAACATGAGGAATCTGAGAAGCCTGCAGATCTCAGAAAATAAACTAGAGGACACTGGTGTAAGGCTGTCATGTGAAGCTGTGAACCCTCCCAACTGCTACTCAGAGATTCTTGAATCGGAGGCCTGTGAATTAATTGCTGCCTGCTGCGGGAACCTAGCTTCTGCTTTTACCCACAGTAAAACCCTGTGGGGAATCAGCCTGTTGGAGAACTCTGTGGACCACAGTGGGGGGTCATTGTGCTGGGTGAAGACCCAAAACAAAAGTATGACCTTCATGCAAGGGCTGCAAACAGCTTCTTTGATGAGGAAAACCAAGCATTTCCAACTGCCTAGAAAAAGAAATCCCTACTTTACATTCCTTAGCAGTAAGAGAAACAGAAGAGCGAAAATCCCTTTCCAAGAAACCAGGGTGTATTCTGACCCAAAGTCACATACAAAGGAAAGGGAGTAGTGCTTACTTTGGCACATCTGAGTGCAAGAATTATCGATCACTGGCATTCCAATGAGATATGGTTTCCCTTGCACCCAGCTCACATGGGTTATATAAGGTGGATGGGGTTTTTCATTTGATAAGACTCAAAGTCAAGAGGTGGGGGTTGGGTGAGAGTAAAGATAGGAGAGGAGGCCTGAATGTAATAATTCATTGTATGAAATTCTTGAATCAATAAAATTTCTCTTAAAAATCTTTTATAATATGATAACTAGTGGAAAGATTTAAATTATTCTGAAATCATGATTTCAGTGAGGTAAAAAATTAAGATGCATATGAATAAAGACAGAAGAAATTGCTCTGGAGGGTGTTACTGAATATGTTAAATCTGTAGTAAAATGCTTCTTCTAATCATGTAGTTAGAATTTTTCTGTATGAAATTGCTAACAATATAAAGTAGCATTTTTTTAGAAAAAAAATGGTTGATAGTTAACAAAGATTTCTTTAAAAGTGCATTTGTTGCTGTAAGCTAGTTGTGAGGTAACAATGAAAAGATACCAGTTTGGGAATCAGAAAGCCTGAGCTGGAGTCCTAGTTCCACTGCTTTGTGCCCGATTTATTTTAGCAAATTATTTAACTTGTCAAGTTTTATATTTTGTATTCAAGATGAGGAGTTGAGTATGTGGCTCAGTCTTAGAGTGCTTGCCTAGCATGTGTCCAACCTAGGGCTTGATCCCTAGTAATATACAGGCATACACATGAGCATACACACACACAGTGAAGATTAAATGGATTACTATATATGAACAGTATATGAAGCTTGATATAAAGCTTGAGGGGATACAGAAATATTACTAACACCTGATTTTCATCTATACCTTTATTTTAAAAGCAGACCTCAGAGAGCTAAGATGAGATTCTGGGCCAAAGGGAAGCAAGGAGAGAAGAAGACTACTCGAGTAAAACCTGCCTCCCAGTTGGAGATTTCATCACTCTTTGCTGACTCAGATGTGATTCCTGCTCATCCATTTCCAGATGGTAAAAATGGGTGAAGGGTGGAACTTATCTTCATAATTTCCAGTTACTCATTCTGAGAGTATGTTAACGCCTTTTTTATTCATGACAGTCCATTTGTAAGCTTCTTTTAATGAGCTAGAACAAGGGTTGTTAAATGTTTCCATACTTAATAAACGAAGTCACCCTGTACCTATATTAGAAGCTCCAAGAATATGTGGCATGAAAAGGTAAAGCAACAGCCACCTCAGTGATTATGAAATTTAGACTAACCTTTGTTTCTTTTTGGTAGCCTTGGGGATTGAACCAGTGGTCTTGCACATGTTATTGATCTTTACCCCCAGTCCTAGCCTTTTTTTCCTAAACTACAAAGGTTTAGCCTTTATTTGGTTATTTCATAAATACGTATTATTCATAGTACTTCATTATTCACAGCAGCTGATATTTGAGTGCTTACTAAGTAGAAGGAATCATACTAAACATGTATATATTAACTCTGTTGGTTCGCAAAACAGTTTTCTGAGGTTGATATTCTTCACATTTTGTAGATGAGAACACTGAGGCTCAAGAAGTTAGTTATACATATGTAGAAATCAGAAGAACTGAGATTTGAATTTGTGTCTAGGGAGTTGAACTCCAGACTCTTTGTTTTTGTTCCTTCTTTGAATTTCATACTAGCTTTGAATTTGTGACAGTCCTCCTGCCTTAGCCTCCTGAGTGCTGAGGTTACAAGTATGAGCCATCATGCCTAGCTCAGAGTCCTCATCCTTAATCATTGTACTGTATATCAGGCATTATGTTAGTTACTGCATACAAAGTAAATATTGTTGCCAGAAAATACCTGATCAAGGCATTTTAAGAAAGGAAGGGTTTTATTTGAGAATATGAAGCATCACATCTATGATAGATCAATGGCTAGTAGATGCCTAGCACTTCATCTTGTAGGTGCTGTTTTGGTTTTCAGGACATAGCAGTAACACACTTGAATGTACTCCATATTAACATTTCAAAGAATAGTAGAGATAAAGTTATACCTTTGATTTTGTATCTTGTGCCTTTATTCCTATCATCTGAACAACTGATTGGGATAAAATTAATAGTAAATTAAGTGGGTAACACAAGTTCAGTTTAGAAAATTTTAAATTCTCTGCATTGCATTACTCAAGTGTTCATTTTCTTAATATCTCATCTGATTGACACTAATCATTCTGAATTTTTCATCTTCTAAAGTTATATTCTTCGCTACTAATTTCTAAGAAGCATAATGCTCATTAGCTGAAAATCTACATTATAATGACTTCATTGTATGCTTAGGAGAATACTTTTATAAAAATCAAGATTATGGCTTTTTTTTTTTTTTGAGACAGGGTCTCCTTGTAGCCCCAGCTGTCCTGGAACTCACTGCATATTCTTTTTGCTTTTCTTTGGAACTAAGGTCTTTATGATCATGTCTGTATCCACCCAATACCAGGTCCTTGGGAGATATGATACCATTTCTCAATAAAAAGTGATAATTCTTTTTTTTTTTATTTATGTATGTATGTATGTATGTATGTATGTATATCTGTCTTTTTGAGACAGGGTCTGTAGCACCAGCTGTCCTAGAACTCGCTATGTAGACCAGGCTGGTCTCAAACTCACGAAGATCTGCCTGCCTCTGCCTCCCAAGTGCTGGGATTAAAGGCATGCACCACCATGCCTGGCCTTATTTATTTTTAATTTTATGTGTATGAGTGTATTGTCTGCGTGTATGTAAGTACACCCGTGTCATGCAATGCCCATGGAGGTCAGAAGAAGGCATCAGATTCCCCCAGAACTGGAGTTACGGATGGTTGTTAGCCACCATGTGGGTGCTGGGAATCGAACTGTGGTCCTCTGCAAGAGCAATCAGTACTCTTAACTACTGAGCCATTGCTCCAGCCCCAAAAGTGATAATTCTTAAATATATTTTTTGTACGATTGCTAGCTAGGATTTATCATCTGCCTGCTTAATCTCAAAACAATGTTACTTTGTTTTACAGATGTTTGCATATGTTACTAAAAGAACTTAAGAATGGAGATGATCAATATTTTTTTTATTAAATGCATCTTTTTGTATGTCCTATTTTGAATTGTAGAATTATCTCAGTATCACCCAACACCACCTCTGAGCCCTGAATTGCCTGGTAGTTGCCGAAAGGAGTTCAAAGAGAACAAAGAGCCTTCTCCAAAGACTAAGCGCAAGCGAGGCGTAAAGATCAGCAATGTGGCTTTGGATTCCGTGCATTGGCAAAATGATTCTGTCCAAATCATAGCAAGTACCAGTGATTTAAAAAGTATGGATGAATTTCTTCTGAAAAAGGTATAGTTTGCTAAGTTAATCCTTGGAGTAAATTTGACTATGGAGTGCTCATTTATGACAGTGTGTTCCCTTGTAGAAATGCAGGTTAAAAGATCTCCAGTAACTTAGGCAGTAGGTATGTTAACAGAAAGTTCAAATAATAGAACATACATAGTCAGACTAGATAGACAGGATTTAAAGTTTCAGTCTTTAGAAATACTGACTTCCATTTTATTATAGTTTTCTAGTAATAGAACTGTAGATCTAAAATGTTAGAAAGGAACTTAGATGTGCTCTAGTAGCAATAATATTTGAGCATATTGTCCTTTTCCTGGGTTCTATAATGGCCAGTGGCTTGTATTTTTAGAACAGTCATTGTTGAACAGACATTTCCACTGTTGCATTTGGCTCTTTTTAATTACTTGTGTTCAACAACTTTTTCTGATGTCCCCAGATGAATGATCTAGATAATGAAGACAGCAAGAAGGATACTCTAGTGGATGTTGTATTTAAAAAAGCCCTGAAAGAATTTCGGCAGAATATCTTCAGCTTTTATTCATCTGCATTGGCGGTAAGACCATGTTAGGAGATATGCATAGTTCAATGTGACTCTATAATTTTAATTAGTTATAAAGCTAGACTTAAAGAAGCAATTCTCGGGGTTTGCACAATTATTATATTGCTTAAACTGTTGGGTCTTTTATTAATACTTAGATTTATCCTATTTGCATTCTATACTAATGTAAGAATTTTTTCACACATGCCACCTAACCTCATGAGCAAGCTCATTACAAAGTGTTTCAAGATCCTAACCCCAGTAAAGTTTAATCAGTCTTTAAGAATTTATTCATAGGGAGCTAGAGAGAGAGCTCAGAGGTTAAGAGCACTGACTGCTCTTGCAGAGGACCCAGGTTCAGTTCCCAGCACCCATACTGTGACTATCAGCCATCCATAACTCCAGTTCCAGGGGAATCCAGTGCCCTCTTCTGATCTCCGAGAGCATTGCACAACACAGGTGCACTTGCATGCATGCAGGCAATAAATACACCTGTACACATAAAATTTTAAAATAATAAGTTAAATGTTAAAAAAATACTTTCTTCATAAAAACGTAACTTTTTTTTCCTCTTCTTATTAGATGGATGATGGGAAAAGCATACGATATAAAGACCTGTATGCACTGTTTGAACAGATTCTGGAAAAGACCATGAGGCTTGAGCAACGCAATTGGAGTGAATCTCCAGTGAGAGTTTGGGTCAACACTTTTAAGGTGTTTTTAGATGAATACATGAATGAATTTAAGACTCTGGATAGCATAGCCACAAAGGTATGAGATATATTTTGATTTCTGAAAGGATTAAAGTATGAATTCTTTGTAGGAGTCTGTTTAGGACACTTTTTAAAAATTTTTTTTAAATTATTTAATAATCACATAATTAGAAGAAGCACTTCATTACAACTGCATTGCATATTCAATAACAATTTCCAGAGCTATGATGCATCTCTTTCAAAATTGGCTGTAAATATTTAGGTTTACACTTGAATTAATACAGTTATACAGTATTGTAGTATAAACCCTATAAGACATAAAATTGAGTGAGGTTTTAACCTTTAAAAAAGATCTCCATTTCATGATTAAAATACAGTTTCATACAGAAAAATTCGTTTTTAATGCAGTTAACACTTAAGATGATTGCACATACGTTTCTAATCTCTATATATCTGATTATTACTAGTCACAGTCAATTACTTTCTGAGATCCTTGGCATCTGAGCATGGATATAAAGTCGTCAGGTAGATTTCAATGGTAATGAGTAGATGTGAAAAACATTACCATAGGACACATTTCTAAAAAATTACCATATGCTTTTAAGTTAGGTATGGTGGCATATACCTATAATCCTGGGACTCTGGACACTAAGGCAAGAGGAAGATGGAATGGGCCTGGGCTACAATGGACTCGGAAATATAAAACAAAAAGTGTGTGTGCATGTGTTTGTGTATTTTTTGTCGTTTGTTTTTGCTTTCAAAGAAAGTTATAGCAGACACAGTTATCATTGTATATCTTTGCAGTATTCCAGATGAAATTATTTAGTAATTTAAAAACAAGTCTTTGAAAATTCTGTTATGGATTTTATTTTAAGCAGAAGATTCTTACTGGGCTTATTTTGCTGTTTTGTAAATTTATACTTATTAAAAGATAGGTTTAAACAAAGAGCTGTTTATCATCTGTTCAAGTTGCTCAACACTTGCAAAGAAGAAAATATGTTATCTCAATTTCTGTTTCTCCCCATCTTCTGCCAGGTGCCTAAAACAGAAAGAAAGAAAAGAAGGAAAAAAGAAACTGATTTGGTAAGTTATCAAAAAAAGTTATTTCTAGATCAGTACCCTGAAGTCTGCCTTTCATTTCTGTAAATATATTTAAGTAATAGGTTTATCAGATATGTAGGGTATATTCATGTCTCTTAAAATTTAGAATAACAAATATATCCTATGTTCAATAAAGAGACTTTTTTCAGTAGTGGCTTCCTAAAATGGAAGAAAACTTGGAATATTTTCTCACAACAGTATAACTACTTCTTTCCTAACTTGTTTACTATTTCTATACTTTTGCTATGTGAGCCTTGTGTAAATGGAATCATGCAGTTTGTGGTTTTGCATTTGGTTTCTTAGCATAATGTTTTTGAGAGACATTCATATTGCTGTATCAGTAGTTCAGCCGATTTCAGTATTCAATAGAATTCCATTGTATACATACATCATTTTTGGGGTGCTGTAGTGGGGAGAGAACCCAGGACACTTGGCATGCTAGGCTAGCACTCTTCCACTGGAAAGCTCTCACATTTCCCATCACATTTTATTTACCATTTGATAGACATTTGGGTTATTTTATGGATATATGTTATGATTTCTCTCATATATAAATCTGAGGGTATAATTTCTGGGTCATATGATAACTATGATTAAAATTTTCAGAAATTGCCAAACTGTTCTCCAAGTGACAACAGCATTTTACAATACTGCCTACAATATTCTGAGAGTTCCAGTCTCTCAAGATCTTCACTACCAGTATTCAGTACTAAGTAACTACAATACTGCAATAACTATTAGTTGCTGTATACCTTTTTGTTACAGCCATTCTTAAAGGTCTGACATAGTGTCTTACTTTGATTTTAATTTGCATTTCTCTCATGGCTGATGATGTTAGACATCTTTCCATATGTCTGCTGGCCACCTGTACTGCTTTGATGGACTATCTATTCAGTATTTTACTCATTTTTTTAAATTGGGCTGCCTTACTATATTGTAACATCTTTTTGTATATTAGAATGGTGCTGGGAAAACTGGGTATCTACATGTAAAAGAAAAACTTTATTTCACCCTGCAAAAAAATGAACTTCAGATGAATCAAACATAAGGCCTGAAACTGTTAAAGTAGGGAAAATACTTCCAGATATAGTCATAGGTAAGGACTTTCTAAATAGAACTCAGGAAATAAAGCCAACAATTGATAAATAGGACCTCATGAAATTAAAAAGCTTCTGTACAGTGAAGGAAACTATTGAGTGAAGAGGCAACCTACAGAATGGGAGACTATCTCTGCCAGCTATCATCTGACAGAAGATGTATATACAAAATATGCAAAGAAAAAATACCTATCAAGAGAATAATCAATCAAGTAAAAACATGGGCTGTGGAACTGAACAGAGAATTCTAAGAAGAAGAAATACAAATGAACAGTAATACTTTAAAAAGCATTCAGCCAGGCATGGTGGCACATACCTTTAATCTCAGCACTTAGGAGGCAGAAGCAGGTGAATCTATGAGATCAAGGCCAGTTGGGCTATAAGGAGCACTAGTCACGATATCCAAGATATAAAGCTAGTTAAGATGTCAATTAACAGATTAATGGATCAAGAAAATGGTACATATATGCAATGGAATTCTGTATGGTTGTAAAGAAGAATGAAATTGTCACATTTGCAATAACATGGATGAAACTGGAGAATCATATTAAGTGAAATAAATCAGACTCAGACAAATACACATTTTCTCATATGTAGCTCCTATATTTAAATTTTCATGTGTGAAAATAAATACTTAGGACATGGAATTAGAAAGGGGAGTGTGAAAGAAGTCTAAAGAGCTGGGGTGAAGGTAATGTGATGTATGTGTCATGAAAGCACAACAGGTAATTATTTCAAAGGAAGAAGGGGACCAGCAAGAGAGGCAGTAGGGTGCAGATAAGAACAAAATATGATATATGTGTATTGGTAGTGTCACAATGAAACCTTTTGTATGTTTGGTTACTTTATTATTTTTATTTATGTGTAGGAGTGTATTGCCTGTATGTATGTAAGTGTACCCATACTATGCAGTGCCCATGGAAGCCAGAAGAGAGTAATGGATCCCCTGGAAGTAGAGTTTCAGACAGTTGTTATCTGCCATGTTGATGCTGGGAACTGAATTAACATGGGTCCTCTGTAAGAGCAGTCAGTGCCTTTAATCACTGAGCCATCTCTGCAGCTTCTGCATGTTTGTTTTGAGATAGCATCTCACTATGTGCCCATGGCTGACATAGAACTCAATGTTCTAGCTTGAACTCACAAAGATCAACTTGGCTCTGCCTCCTGAGTGCTGGGATCAAAGGCATGTGACTTGGGCCTGTAATTCCAGACTTTGAAGGCCTAGTCATGCAGATCATCATGGGTTTGAGGCCAGCATGGAGTAAAAAGTGAGACTTTGTTTCAAAAAAAGGGGTGGGAGTACTGGCTGCTCTTACAGAGAACTTGGGTTTGGTTCACAGCACCCACATGTTGGCTAACAACAGTCTGTAACTCCAGTTCCTAGGGGATCTGATTCTTTCTGGTGTCTGTGAGTTCTGCACACACATGTACAATTAGATACATGCAGGCAAAATACTTACACACATCAAATAAAAATAAAATGGATTTTTTAAAAGGATTATTTATATTAATATTTAATGTCCTTAATTTCAAATGAATTACTTTTTTTCAGTTTTAATTTCTAAATAGTGATAGGTCTAATTCATGTAAACAGAAGCCTTTTTGTCAGTAATTTTCAATAATGTGAAACATTCAATAATGTGAAAAACAAAAATTTTAGAACTGCTTTTAATATAACATGTTGACACCGTGTCACATAATATAGCTGTTACATGCTTGTTGAATTGCATTGCTTTTCGTATAAGTTGGACATTCTGATCTATATTGTTAGCTTTTTTGAAGGGACAGAACTATATTTTATTTCATTTTGTATACCCAGTGAAGTCTTAACAAGGGATTGAAGAATTTCCCTTTGCCAACCATGTTAGGGCAGCATTTACTTTATTTGCTTTAGTATAAATAGCTAAAAAAAAATTTTTTCCCCTCAGGTGGAAGAGCACAATGGCCATATCTTTAAGGCCACCCAATACAGCATCCCTACATACTGTGAATTCTGTTCTTCCTTGATATGGATAATGGACCGAGCTTCTGTATGCAAATGTAAGTATTAGAGATCTTTGAGGAAAAAGCTTTGATGATCTTGTCTTGCACCCACGTGCCTACAAAACTAGTACCACATGGAAGCCAAGTTCTTCAACCAACTGGAATAATAGCTAACCTCCTTTGAACCATTGCTACAGTAGCTTCATAGCTGAACTTGGGAAAATATTTCCCTAGTTAGCCCTTTGAGAGTAGAACATTCTAGGCAGTACTCTCTTTTTAAAGGAAAATCTTTCAAGGGGCTGGAGAGATGGCTCAGCAGTTAAGAACACTGACTGTTCTTGAAGAAGACCCGGGTTCGAATCCCAGCACCCACATGGCAGCTAACAACTGTCCGTAACTTCAGTTCCAGGGGGATATATGACAGCTCTTCTGTCCTCTGCGGGCATTGCATGATACGGGTGCATTTACCTACATGTAGCCATAACACTCATACACATAAAATAATAATAAAAATTTTTTTTAAATTTTATTTTTTAATATTTTTTTATTTTTTAGAAAAAGCATTTCATTACAGCTTTAACATACTCAGTAACAAAGAATAATAAAAAAAATATTTTTAAAAAGAAAAAGAAAGGAAAATCTTTCAAATAAGTTGTAGTTTATATCACCCTGGAACTTGCTATGGGTGTGGTCTGACCACTTTACCACTTTTTGCAATGCCCTCAACAAATCTTTCCTCTGGTTCCAGTGCAGATTTCTCATTTTAGTTTTAATGTTGCTAAACATCTTAATAACTAGTCTTTTTGTCCAAAGCATTAATGTGCTTCTTTCCTAGTCAACCTAAATATTTTAAAATTCCATTTCCAATTATCACTATAAACCTGGCTAAATATAGCCAGCAGTAACCACACTATAGCCTAAATTTACTTCAGATTACTTAGTTCCTCAATTCTGCCTCACTTAAATTTTCAGGACATGTGTCATAGACAAATTCGCCACCAGAAAATGAAAATGGCCTCTAGTCCAATTCCCAGTAGAGTCATTGTTTGCATATGAAACATGGAAGCTTGTCTTTCACTTTCCACATCTGTTAGCATTCTGGTTTTCAACCGTCCACCAGAATGTCCTATTAAGTTCTACTTGCAGCATTCCAGGACTGGGCTTCTCTATCCTAAAGCTCCAAACTTTTCCAAATTCCTCCCTCAAATCAGTTTCAAAGGCTTAAAGTCACATGATCAGGTTTAGTCAAGGCAGCATACCCACTTGTCTGGTACCTAGATTTCTATATTAGTTTTGTGTCATTGTGGCTATAATACCAAACAGAAACAACTTAGGTGAGGAAAAATTTAGTTTTAGCTCATGCTTTCAGAGAATTTCAGTTCTTCATGGAAGGAAAGAGATGCCCGAGGAAATGTGTGGTGGAGGCTGTTCATATCAGCACAGGCCGGTAAGCAGAGATTGTGACCCACACCAGTGGCAGGCTGTAACCTTCAAAGGCCCACCTCTAGTGACTTACTTCAGCCAGTGAGTTTCCACCTCATAAAGATTACACAGCCTTCTCTAAATGGTACCACTAACTGGGTAACAAGCATTCAGACCAGTGGGGAATATTTCAGATTTATTCTGTAACAATGGAGTAAGCGCTTCCTTTCATTTTATTATTAATAGTTTTAAGAATGAGATTGAAAATGGACAGTAATTTGTAATACACCCGCTTCTTAATCCAGTTCTTAAAGGTTTGGCATTACTTGAAACACTAAGGCTTATGGCTAAGGGTTTAGAGAACTAGCTTTTTTATGACCAATGTGGACATAGATTGATTTCTTTATGGAATTAATGGTTTTTGTAACTGTCCTGGTCACAAAGTATACCAGTACAATGTTATAGCCTCCCTACTTGATTGTGATTCTAAAGAAAATTAGAAGAAAGAAGCTCAAGAAAGGATATTCAGTTGTTTTACTAGAGACCAAACTAGTATAGCAGAATGACACTTATCATCTTGTTCTCAGTGTCCCCCTATTCAGGTGTCTCCTCTTGCTCACCAGGCTCTCTGGCTGCCCTCTTATCTACCAGTTCAAGAAATTATTTTAGCTTTGAACTTGATCTCTTAATACTCCCTATCACAACTGATAATTCCGTTTAAATTCTCTTTCCTCAGCACTCTCTATTCTGGACCTTCACTTCAGTAAGCATTTCTTTGACAATAATGCCTTCTTTACCTGTAGTAATGATTCTTAATGGGTACTTCTGGCATTTTAGCAGGCTTTAGTGTACCTGGGAGAACATGAATACTAATTTGTGAATCTGTTCATTGACAGTGATGGAAATGTTAGGCTTATTTTCAACTTCATTTTCCCTAACAGAGTTGTTTAAAATCCTTTTTAGTTATCAACACAGCACAAAAATGTACTGATGCCATTATAGCAGACTCAGATCTAAAGAAAAGATTGCATCAAAATAAGGTTGTAAACTTGGTAAGTTCTTGTCACTGGTTTTCAGATTTCTAAAACTGCTGTATTATTAACCCGTTTTTCAGTGTGCAAGTATGCTTGCCATAAGAAGTGCTGTCTGAAAACCACAGCCAAGTGCTCTAAAAAGGTAAGACATTATCACCTACTGGTAATACATAGCAGACCTGTAAGTCTTTTGTGCCATAGGGAAGCAAGCAGGACTGCTTTGATAGCTTTATAATATCATGGTTTTCAAACTTACTGACCTGAAATCACAGTAAGAAATATATTTTGTGTCATGAGCCAACATACCTACATATATAAGTATACCTGTATTATGCAATGCCCATGAAGGTCAGAAGAGGGTGTCAGATCCCCCTGAACTGGAGTGGGTGCTGGGAACCAAAATCAAGTCCTCTGCAAAAACAGCCAGTGCTCTTAACCGCTGGACCGTCTCTCTAGCTCCTGGAGGTTTTCCTGCCCTCCCCCCTTGACTATATGTAAGCTACTAGGTTGATTTATAAGCCACAATTTGAAGAACATTGCTTCTACTTAAGTTAAACACAAGTCTAGTTAAACACAAGTCTTCTGAGGAATTGTGTTTGAGGTAGTATGCAATTAAAGCATAACAGTTTAAACATTAACAACAAAGTATACCAGCATAGTTGAACTTTGTAATTTTTGGTATGCCTCAAGGAAACAACCATTTTTCTTAAAATTCTAGACATTTATTGATGTATAATCATATAGTTTATAAATTATGTGCTGAAAGACTTTTAAAAACTTCAAGTCTGAACTATAGCATAAACGTATTTACATACTGTTTTACGCTATATCTAAATTTCCATCTATTTCAAATAAATAGACAAATCATGGCAAAGCACAGAGAAAAATCTAATTCAGTACTTAAAATACCATGAAGGTGACATGTTTTGCTTCCAGCTGAGGTGTCTCTTTTTTTTAAATTTAATAACCACATGATTAGAAGAAGCATTTCATTACAGCTTTAACATATTCAGTAAAATTTCCAGAATAAGGATGCATCTTTCAAAAGTGGCTGTAAATTTTTAGGTTGACAGTTGAATTAATACAGTTATACAATATTGAACTCAGTATAAACCTGTAAGGCATAAAATTGAATGAGTTTTTACCCTTTAAAGAAGATCTCCATTTCATTTTAAAATATGCTGTTTCCTACATTTTTAATGCTACTAACACTTAGAAGTTTGCACATCTATCTTTAATCTCTATGTATCTGATTATTAATAGTCACAGTTGGTTACACTCGGATCCTTAGCACCTGACTATGGATATAAAGTCATCAGGTAGATTTCAGTTGTAATGTTTATCACCTCTACTAATTAACATGAAGTAAATTTTTATGCTGCTTCTTCAAATACATCTTTTTAAAAAAATTTGTTGATTTTTTTTGGTGTGTATATCATACAGAACATCCCACACAATGTTATTCATCTATATACCCACTTCCCAAATGGCACCCTCCCATAGCCTCCCCACCCCACCCCCACTGGAGTCCATATACTCTGTCATCCCTGTTACTGTCCACTGTGTTGTCGGCACTCCCAGCCATTCCCCAGGGCTTGTTCATCTGCTGAAACTAGTCAGCCTATCTAGAGATCCTTGTTTTAGGAAGGTCAGCTGTTCCTCATCTAGCAGCAGTCAGTTGTCAGTATTCTTTTAGATAATACTGGGTCTACTGTTCATTTTCCCAGTTTTATGCTGGGTTACTGCCTGGGAGTCTTTTGGGCCATCCTGGCCAATAACTCAAAGGAAGGTATCTTCTGTCTGGCATTGTTTCTTGTTATATAGCCTTTAGCTATACATATGGACTCTTAAAAAATTATATTGACTCCATTAATCTTTGGTTATACTTTCCTTTTGGGTGTTTTAAGACCGTACAATTGGCCCAGATAAACCAATTTATTTTTATTCTTAAGGTTGTTTGAGGATCTGTTCCTCGGGGGTCACATGGGCTTGGGAGGAGCACTGGCTCCTTTCTTTTACTAGTTCCATCTATGTGAAGATTAATCAAAGGTTCTGCTCGACCATGGCTGGCTTCACTTGGAAGCATGGAGGAAATGATTCCTCTGTGTTGACCCTCCTCTTTGTAGACTGGATACTGGTTCAAGTCCATTTGATGGGGTCTCCACAGCCTCCTTGATCAAGAGGACAGGTGATTCACCACAGTTACAGGACATTGTGAGGGATGTTCATAATCCCCTGGAACTTAGTCGACCTAGGAGGGAAAGGAACAAAAACTGACCTTTATGTCCCTCTCTCCAAATTAGTATAGGCCTCATACTATGGCTGTTAAACATCCAAGAAGGTTAGTTCCACCAGTCTGGTACTTTTAGTTACCACTAAGAAAGTGTGTCATGTAGACAAATCCTGGGCAAAGACCAGTTGTTCTCAGACAAACCTTACCTAGACATACATTTCTTGATCTGCTATGTACAATTTGTCAGTAGGTTGAAGGAGTAATAGGGTTCTCTCTGGTTTTCAAAACTAGCTAAGCATTGTTTATCTCTCACATTGTCTTACCCCTCCATTATGGTTTTCCCACTTAAGGTGCCCCCATTTCCCCCTTTCTCCCATACTAATACCCTTCTTCTATGGTCCTACCTCTCTTGAGCCCCTTCTTTCCCTTTATCCCCTAGGTTCCTTGTATAACCTTCCCTCCCCTTAAAATAACCCCATTATTGTCCATATCTCCCTTGCTAACACCTGTTTTCTACTGTTCTTCTCTTTCAGATTCTTTCTTTTCCTTTACCTCCCTGGTTCTTTTTCATTATCTTGGTTCCTGTAGTTATGTCTGGATACATAACTCACTTAAAAGGATTTGGTGCTAGGATCCAAATGTGAGGGAGAACATACGTTGGTTTTTTCTTTTCTTTTTTCTTTTCTTTTTCTGAGTCTGTGTTACTTCACTTAGTATAACAGTTTCTAGTTCCACCCATTTACCTGCAAATTTCATGATTTCATCTTTCTTTATTGCTGAGTAAAACTCCGTCATATAAATGAACCACATTTTCATTATCCACTGGTCAGTTGAAGGACACTTACGTTGCTTCCATCTCTTAGCTATTGTGAAAAGAACAGCAACAAACATGGATGTATAAGTGTCTCTGCAATAGGATGTGTTCTTTGGGTATATGCCAAGAACTGGTATAACTGGGTCAAATGGTAGGTTCATTTGTAGTGTTTTAAGAGTTCTCCACACTGCTTTCCATAGGGGTTGAACCAGTTTGCAGCCCCACCAGCAGTGGATGAGTGTTCCCCTTTCCCCACATCCTCTCCAACATTTGGTATCATTTGTTCTCTTGATCTTAGCCAGTCTGACTGGGGTAAGATGAAATCTTAAAGTGGTTTTAATTTGCATTTCCCTAATAACTAGTGATGTTGAATACCTTTTAAGATGCTTTTTAGCCATCTTTCTTCTTTTGAGAACTCTGTTCGGTTCCTTAGCCCATCTTTTAATTGGGTTACTTCATTCTTGATTCCTGGTTTTTTGAGTTTGTTACATATTCTGGATTTTAAACCTCTGTTAAATGTGTTAGATGCCTTGTTTGGTTTTTTTGTTGTTGTTTTGTTTTTCTTTTTGTTTTTTTTTCAGAGCTGAGGGCTGAACCTAGGGCCTTGCGCTTGCTAGGCAAGCGTTCTACCACTGAGCTAAATCCCCAACCCCATGATGCGTTGCTGGTGAAGATTTTCTCCCACTCTGCGTTTTCTCTTCATTTCCTTGGTTGCTTATTTTGATGTACAGAAGCTTTTTAGTTTAATGAGTTCCCATTTGTTGATTCTTGACCTTGTTTCCTGGGCAGCTGATGTCCAGTTTAGAAAATCCTTTCCTATACCTATATCTTGTAGGTTATTGCCAATGTTCTAACATTTTCAGAGTTTCAGGCTTCACATTGAGGTCGTTGATCCATTTGGAGTTGAAAGGTGAAAGATAGGGGTTCATTTCATTCTTCTACAGGTGGAGATCTAGTTTTGCCAGCACCATTTGCTGAACATGCTGTCTTTCTTCCAGTGAACGTTCTTGGCACCTTTGTCAAATATCTTGCACTTTTAATTACCATGTGCTATGTAGATAAAGCTTGGGCAAAAACCAAATGTTCTCAGATAAACCTTGCCTGGACATATATTCCTTGAGCTAATTGTATGTATAATTCGTCAGTAGGTTGTTCGATTAATATGGTTCCCTCTGGGGTTTTTTTGTTTGTTTGTTTGTTTTTTGTCATTTTGAGACAGGGTCTCCCTGTAGCCCCAGCTGTCCTGGAACTCACTATGTAGACCAGGCTGGCCTTGAACTTACAGAGATCCGCCTGCCTCTGCCTCTTGAGTGCTGGGAGTAAAGGCGTGTGCCACCATGCCCAGACCAAATTGAATGGGTTTTTAACCTTTAAAAAAGATCTCCATTTCATTTTAAATATAATATTTCTTACAGAAAGACTCATTGTTTTTGCTAATAACAGTGAGATGTTGGCACATGCATCTCTAATCTGTATGTATCTGATTATTACTAGTCATGGTTGGTTGCACTTGGATCCTTGGCACCTGTGTATGTCTATAAAGTCATTGGGTAGATTTCATTGGTAATGTTTATCACCTCTACTAATTAACATGATGTAAATTTTTATGCTTCCTCCTCATATTTCATTTTTAAAAATTTGTTGATTTCTTTTTTTGTGTATGTATATCACACAGAACACCCCAAACCATCTTATTCATCTGTACACCCACTTCCCAGATGGCACCCTCCCATAGCCTCCCTCCCCCAACTAGAGCCCTTATACACTGTCATCCCTGCTACTGTCCCCTGTGTTGTCGGCACCCCCAGCCATTCCCCACTACTTGTCCATCTGGTGAATCCAGTTAGCCTATCTAGAGGTATTTGTTTTAGGAAGGTCAGCTGTTCCTCATCTAGCAGCAATCAGTTGTCAATATTCCTTTCATAAGATTGGGGTCTGCTGTTCATTTTCCCATGTGTCTGTGTGTGATTTGCAAGTATTTTGTAGAGAATTTTTACATCTATGTTCGTTGAGGATATGGGTCTATAGTTTTCTTTTTTGGTTGTAACTTTACCTGGCTTTGGTATTAGAGTGGTGCTGGTTTCACAGGAGGAAT